GATCCTGACGCCTCCTCCCGGCACAGCGGGCCTGGACCAGGACGGTGAGGCTGGCCGCCGAGCGCGCGAGGTAGCCTTCATTCACATCCAGCGAGAGCTGCGCCTGCGCGGCGTCTTCCTGCGCCACGAGTTCCCCCGCGTCTACGAACAGCTCTGTGAGTTCGTGGAGGCCAACCGGCGCTTCACGCCCACCACCATCTACCCCACCGACCGGCGTACGGGCCGGCCGTTCATGTGCATGATCATGGCCGCCTCTGAGCCGCGCGCGCTTGACTGGGTGGCCAGCGCCAACGTGCTAGACGACCTGATGTGAGCCTCAGGGCGTGCCAGCCCGCTAGAGCCCTGCCGCGGCTCCGACGCCCAGGCCCCTTCGACTTCCCCGGGGTCGCTTTAGGGTGTCCCCCGGCTGCGCCCACCCACCCAAGCCCCTCCCCGAGCCCGTCTTCCCAGGCTCCAACCCCACTTCCGCACTCCTGCCCGCCAACGCAGGCCCCGCCTCTTCTATCCGAAGACCTCTCACCAGACGCCCATACCCCCTTCTTACTGGTCATCTCGACCCAGCGTGCCCCAGGGCCTCCGAGCCGGTCCTCAGCCGGTTGGTGCTCCCCGCGGGAGGCGGGGTGGCCTGAGGACTCACCGGCCCTGCTTTCAAGTAGACGAGGGCACTACCACACAGACCCTGTGTCCAGAACACGGATCTCAGACCCAGGGGTCTGAGGACTCGCTCTTCCAGGAGCCTGGCACTGACCAAAGCCCAGGGTGCCCGGCCCCCATAGTTCAGAGCAGGACAGGGGGGCCGGTCGCACCTAACCAGGATCTGGCATGTCGTGACCGCCTCGGTGTGGAAGGTGACCTATTGCTGAGCCTTTTTTCATGCGACAACACCTGCAGTAGCTTGGCGATGCCCTGCGGGGCACATGGTGCTGTCTGCTGGTCCCGGCCCTGACCTCCAGGACTGAGACCAAGTCTGGCCCTCATGTGGGCAATCCTGTATCCTACTGTCCCTTCGATTTCTGCATTACGTCCACCCTGGCCTGGGCCTGCAGGGTGAGGGGGGGAAACAACTGGTACAGGCGGAGATCTTAAGGCCACTGCAGGCTACACGCAGTCAGAGGGCAGGAGGCCAAGGCAGGGAAAACAAGAGTGAACCAGCAGGGCCTGGAGTCAGTTCAGGCGCCAACACCAGGGACAGTGACAGGGTATATCCCTGACACCCACTGCAGGCATACGTGCGAAGGATGATGGTCCAGGATGTAACAGGGTGGGGCCACAGATGCCAGTGAAGCCAGGCAACAGATGCGGGACAGACAGCTAGTTGGCCAGGCTGGGGATCTGATCCCACAGTCGCTAGGAGGCCAGAGCCTGACCTCAGCCCCACCCTCAGGAGCTTAGGGCTCAGAGGATCCACGGAGGGCAGTGGTGACCCCAGAGGGGATGACTCCAGGCCATGGAGGGGTGAGACCTGGAGTCCTGACAGATCTTTGTGAATGACCACACCCACCCCGCACTCCCCCAAAAAACGCCTTCCTGTGGTCTTCTCCCCGTGTCTCCGCCCGCGGGTCCTGCACTTGTTCCACGAGCTCCTTTGCATGGGCCCTGCCGGCCCGCCTCCACCCCCCCGGGGTCCTCTACCTTCCACCCCCTCGCCCGAGGGTCAGGCTGGAGCGATTGTGCCCAGAGGGCAGGCGCTTTCGAACTGAGTAAACTAGAAATTGAATGTAACCCTTGCTGCCTCCTTGCACGGGATAGGGGGCGCGCAGAGCGAGGGTGGGACCCGGACATCACGGGGGACAGGGGTGCGCTCTGAGCCAGGAGGTGCGAACAGCGCCCTGGGAGTGTCCCTGGACCGCAGGGGGTGGGGAATCCTGGCGCGTTTCTCGGGCCCCAGAGAGCCTCCGTCCCTCGTCCCAGTCTCATATGCTGCCAGTCCCCTCCAGAGGCGCTTGTCAGCCACCCCCGCGGCATCTCTTACAACAGGGAGAGAACGTCTCTAATCGGCTGGATTTAACCATTGCCCCCTCTAGGTTTCCTCGTTCCCCTTTAAGTGGGAATAGCGTAGCCCCGAGGCTGGTAGGAGCCGTGTTGCGATTGGCTAGGCTGCGCTCAGGTCCGCAGTACGATTGGCTGACGCGACGAAACCCAAGCAGCATCTCCCCCCACGTGATTGGTCACGGCTCTCCCAGAGCCCGCCCTCTGCACCGCCGACGACGACCCAGTTCGGGAGGGGGCAGGAGCTACAGAAGCTGGGTTGGGGGGGGCGAGCGCCGGCGAAAATGGCGGCGGCGGGCCTCGCCGAGATTCCCGATGTGGACATCGACCCAGACGGCGTCTTCAAATACGTGTTGATTCGAGTCCACACGGTGCCGCCCTCCGACGCCCAAGCGGCGGAGAGCAAGGAGATCGTGCGCGGCTACAAGTGGGCCGAGTACCACGGTGAGGGCGGGGCCGGCGCTTGGCGGGGATTGAGACTGAGGGAGCGGAAGGGGCGGGGCCGGAAGGGGCGGGCTCTGACGCACTTGGGCGGGGCTGAAGGTAGCCTGGGCGTGGTCGGCGTCAGGGGGCGGGGCCGAGCGTCCCGGTGGCTCTGAGCACCTGGCCGTCGGCCCTGGAGGAGAGGGGAGGGGCTGGGACCCCGCGGGCCTCCCGGTCCAGACTACCACCTAGTAAGGGGGCTTCCGGGCGTGCGGACTGAGTTACGCTCCGAGTGGGGGTGCGCCTGGCCTCGGGGTTCTGACCTCGGCTCCCTTCCAGCCGACATCTACGACAAGGTGTCGGGGGAGATACAGAGACGGGGCTTGGACTGCGAGTGCCTGGGTGGCGGACGCATCTCCCACCAGAGCCAGGACAAGAAGATCCACGTGTACGGCTACTCCATGGTGAGCCTGTGCCGGGTACACCTGGGCCCGCGCAGCTCGTGACCCCTGGCTGCCCTGGCAGACACAGACGTTGGTCCATCGCCAGCCTCACCTGCTGGGCTGAGCGTGCCCCTCCCTTCCCACAAGCCCCCACCACACCCAGCCTGGCCATGCTGAGTGCCCTCAGGAAGATGCTTCGGGTCTGCTCCCCACAGAGGCTCCTGGTGCCAGGAGACCCCCCCCCCCCCACCAAGCAAGGGGCCCAGCAGGAGCTCTGCCACCCCCTCCCAATGGGGCCGGGCCATGGCAACTGGAGGGCCTGGTGTCAGCGCCTTTCCCCCCTCTCCAGGGCTACGGGCGCGCTCAGCACTCCATCTCCACAGAGAAAATCAAGTCCAAGTACCCCGACTACGAGGTCACCTGGGCAGACGACGGCTACTGAAGGCCGGGCCCCACCACCGCCCCCACACCCAGACCAGACCAACCTCGCCTCGATGTCCAGTCTGGCCCCAGGGTCACCGTGCGCAAATTAAAGTGTTGTCTTTCTGCCTGTCTCCTGGACTGTGTCTGGGTCCACTGGCCCCACCCAGCCCCCAGGGCCCCAGACAGGGCAGGGGAGGGAGAGGAGAGGGTCTGATAGGTGCACATTCAGCCCTTTGGGGTCTGATAAGAGCCAGCGATGGGCCTCTCTCGGCCCCGTTTACAACCTGATTGCCCTCTGGAAGGTGCTGTCCCAAGGACATCAGGGAGAGGCATAGGGGTCAGTGCGGGCCCCACTGGCTGCTGTTGGGGAACCTGATCCCAGGCCACGTGAGGGTCCTTCATGTCTGTCCTGAGGGTACAGACAGGAAGCCCCACCCAGAGCTCACGTGGAACAGTGAGGCCAAAAGGCAGCAGCACATCTGTGGCCTCACCTGTCCCTGACCGCCTGCCCACAGGGGCTAAGGGGGATACGGTGGGAGGTCAGGGTGCCCTTGGCACAGACCTACAGGCGGGGCTTGATACTGGGGCATCTGGGATCCTTGGCCAGTCCTTGGCAGTGGGTGGTCCCAGTCTGCACCCACCACAGCTTCCATGGCCTCCCCACCAGACTGGAGCCTTCCGGCCAGCAGCAAACCACACCCAGCTACTTGCCACATGCTGACTAAGTGAACCAGCCTTGGTATGTGGTGTGCAGGGCTAGGGGCCCAGCAGGGGCATGGGGTAGGCTTGGGATTTGCACCGGCTGGGGCCTGACCTTGGCCCCTGGGTGTGGCGGGTGCCCTCGTGGCTGCAGCAGCTGAAGTTTCTGCCCACCACCTACCCAGATCACAGTTCATTGGACCCCACTAGGTTCCCATAGGGCCTCCGCCAACCAGGCGGGGTTGGACCCTGGTCAGGGGGCCCCCCAAGGACCCGATACCTGGGTGTGGGCATCAGCAGCAGTGACCTAGAGGGCGGGCCCACTCTAGCAGTCCCATACCAGGGCGAGCCTCGCTCCCTCACCCAGCATGCGGCAGACCAGCCACCTTCTAGCTGCCCTGACCCTGCTCTCGGGTGAGTTGGCGTCCACTCCCTGCAGCGGGGCTGGGTGGGCATAAGGCAAAGGCCAGACCCACCCACCCCAGGGGTCTCCAAGTCCTGAGCCTCCCTGCTGGAGAGGTGACCTCACCCCTACCTCCCTGAGCCCAGGATGAAAGGCAGAAGTGGAGGGTGCCCCTTCAGCACCCCAGACCATCTGGGGGTTCCCAGGACCAAGGAGCCCATCTGCCCTCCAGCCACTGATGGCTTCTGTCAGCAGGAACCGTAGGCTGGGCCTGGGTCCCCAGCCACTGCTGGAGCTCCCCGGAAGCCGTGTGCAACTTCGTGTGTGACTGCAGAGACTGTTCTGATGAAATGCACTGCGGTGAGGGGGCGCTGAGGCAGTGTAGGGTGCTGAGACGGGATGGGTGCTGAAGCAGCAGGGGTCTGAGGTAGTGTGGGGTGCTGAGATGGGGTTGAGGCAGTGTGGGCGTTGGGCAGCGGGAGAGGGGGATGAGACTGGGGGCGCTAAAGCAGCACAGTGAGGGGGTACAGGAACCCTCGCAGCTGCTGACCCTCCCTCCAGGATTCCATGGGGCTGCCCCCAGCCCGGGTGGCCCCTTCACCTGCGACTTCGAGCGGGACGTGTGTGGCTGGCAGGATGTCAGCACCTCGGGGTACCGCTGGCTGCGGGACCGGGCTGGCGCAGCGCTGCAGGGACCTGGTGCACGCGCCGACCACACACTGGGCACCGACCTGGGTGAGGCCTAGCGCCCCAGGCTACCTACCCCACCACACCACACCCTGCCCTGCCTCGCCCAGCTCCTTACCCTCTCCTCTGGTCAGGCTGGTATGTGGCTGTGGACACCCACCGTGGGAAGGAGGTGTCCACAGCGACCCTGCGCTCGCCCCTCCTGCACCAGGCGGCAGCCTCCTGCCAGATCCGCCTCTGGTTTCACGCAGCCTTGGGAGGTGGGCACACCTGACCGGACGGGGTGGGTACCCGGGGTGGGGGAGGATGGCAGGTCCCAAGAGGGCTTGGCAGGCCTGGGGGAGGGCAGGGTCCCGGGAAGGGTTGAGCTGGGGCCCAGGCTGCCCAGGACCCCTGCCCTAGATGTGGCGGAGCTGCGGCTGGAACTGAGTCACGGCATGGAGACTATGAAGCTGTGGCAGAGCTCAGGGCCCTGGAACCCCGGCTGGCAGGAGCTGGAGGTGGCCACAGGCCGCATCAGGGGTGACTTCCGGGTGAGCTGGGAGTAGCCTGACCGGAGTGGGGAGGGGGTGTCAGGCTGGACCTGGTTCAGGACCTAATGCTGTCGCTGCCCTTAGGTGACCTTCTCAGCCACACGAAACGCCACCCACAGAGGCGCGGTGGCTTTAGACGACGTGGAGTTCCGGGCCTGCGGGTTGCCCAGTAAGCCCCCTGCCCTGTGGGATGCCCCCTCAGTCCTGTCTGCTCCCTGCTCAGACCCTCTCTGCACCCCTCCAGACTGGACCCCAGGGGCCTGGGCCAGGCTGACAGGTGCCCCTCCCTCAGTCCCCACAGCCAGCTGCCCTCTGGGGCAGCACCACTGCCAGAATAAGGCCTGTGTGGGGCCCCAGCAGCGGTGTGACGGGGAGGACAACTGTGGGGACGACTCTGATGAGGACCCGGCCACCTGCAGTGAGGCTGGGGGCCTGCAGGGAGGCTGGGGGCCTGCAGGGAGGCTGGGGGCCTGCAGGGAGGCTGGCTTCAAGACCTGGTTGTTCTGAGGCTGCATCCACAGCCACAGTCAGAGCCGTGGGCTACGGGGACCAGCTTGGGCTATAGGCCAGGCTGGATGATGTACTTGGGTTCGAGGCTGGGAGGCCCTGCTCAGGGACCCCAGGCTCACTCCACCACCCACCCCAGGCCACTACACGGCCACCAACTTTGAGACCAGCCTGGGTCCATGGAACCGCTCCGAGGGCTGGTCCTGGAACCACAGCCTCATGGACCTCGATCACACTGCCTGGCCACGCCGGGACCACAGCCGGAACAGTGCAAAGGGTAAGCACCCACCAGGGAAGCTATGCCCCCCCACCCGGTCCCCGCCTCCCACCTGCCCAGTCCATGGCTACCCTTCCCCAGGCTCCTTCCTGATCACCACGGCCCAGTCCAGCACACCAGCTCTCCTGCTCAGCCCCAAGCTCCAGGCCACGGGCACCCGCTCCTGCACGGTGAGACAGCGGGTGAGCAGGGTCACCACGGCTGGTCAGACGCTGGGTTGCGCAGCCCTGACTCCAGCTCTGTCCCCAGCTGGTCCTCTATTACTACATGCATGGCTCTGAGGCCGGCAGCCTCCATCTGTCCCTGCAGCCTCAGGCCCCCGGGGCCTCCCAGGCCCCTGTCCTGCTGCGGAGCCGTCACGGGGAGCTGGGGGACATCTGGGTCCGGGACCAGGTGGACATCCAGAGCACCCACCCCTTCCAAGTGAGGACCAGAGGGGAGGGACTGTGCGGCAGGGGGCAGGCAGGGTGGGAGGTGACCTGGGGCTGGGGGGAGGGAGTGCAGGGTGAGGAAAGGGTGCAGGACACCCCAACCTTTCTGTCTCCAGATCCTGCTCAGCGGGCAGACGGGCCCAGGGGGCGTCGTGGGTTTAGATGACCTTATCCTGTCGGATGGCTGCACCCCAGCCCCAGGTAAGCCTGCCTCCCCTCCCCCAAATGCTCCCTGCCCCACCCCCCAGCCTGACCCCGCTCTACCTCCGCAGAGCCAGCCACCCTGCAGGCGCCACCTCCTGAGTCCTGGGCTGCAGCCCCACTGCCCCCCAAGACCAGGGCCTTGTGTGAGCCTGGGCACCTCTCCTGTGGGGACCTGTGCGTACCCCCCGAGCAGTTGTGTGACTTCCAGCAGCAGTGTCCGGAGGGCGAGGATGAGCGGCAGTGTGGTGAGGGGCCCAGGTCCTGGAGGGTAGGGCCAGTGATTCCCCATGGCTTGGCCACATGGGGGGTGGGTCCCCGGAGCTGCCTGGGTGGGAGGGTCCTCAGAAACAGAAGGGGTCCTGGAATCTAGGTTGGGTGGGGGTCCCCAGGAACAGGGTTGAGCATGGACCCCAGAGCTGAGGTCCCTGGGACTGCCTGAGTGGGGTTCCTGGGAGCCAGGTTGGGTGTGGGGTGCCCAGGGCTGGGCTGGGTGGGGGTCCCGAGCACCCTCAGCACTGGCTGCTCGACAGGCACCACGGACCTGGAAGCTTCAGCGGGGGGCTGGGAGGACATCAGCGTGGGCCAGCTACAGTGGCAGAGGCTGATGGCCCAGGACAGTGGGGTTCCTACGGGTGAGACCAGAGTAATCCCCACTTCCAGCCCCCCCTCCCCACCCCTGCCCACCGTGGGAAGAGTTCCTGGAGTCTCCCAGGGACCCCCCGTGGGGCAGGGCTCTAACAGGGTGCTCCTCTCACCCCCAGGGCACTTCCTGTCCCTGCAGAGGGCCTGGGGTCAGCTGTCGGTCCCTGCTCGGGTCACCACACCAGCCCTGGGCCCTTCTGGCCCTGCCTGTGAGCTCCACTTGGCCTACTACTTCCAGGGTCACCCCCAAGGTACAGGCAGGGTGTGGGGCTCCCAGGAGGGAGGGCGGGCCCAGAACCCGAGTACATGAACCTGCCCCGCCCACAGGGCTGCTGGCGCTGGTCGTGGTGGAGGGCGGCTTCCGGGAGCTGGTGTGGAGCGCCTCCTCGGGTAGCAGCGCTGGGGCCTGGCGAGCACACACAGTCCCCCTCGGGGCTCGCCAGCGGCCCTTCCGGGTGAGGAGGGCAGCCTGGCACAGGGGCTTGGGTGTGGAGAGCTGAGCTCAGGAGCACTGTGTGACTGCCGCCCCTCCCCTCCCCGGTAAAGCTGGAGTTTGTCGCCCTGGTGGACCTGGATGCCCCCGGCCAGCAGGGTGCTGGCGTGGACAACGTGACCCTGAGGGGCTGCAGCCCCACAGTGACCACAGAGAAAGACCGAGGTGCTCCCTCTGCTTGGCCCCGCCACACACCCCCGTCCTGCCCACCCCTGTCGGCCAGGGGGCTGGGTGGCGAGCTGACCTTCCTTGGCTCACTTCCAGAGGTCTCCTGTAACTTCGAGCGGGACATGTGTGGCTGGCACGTCGGCCACCTCACAGACGCCCACTGGCGCCGGCTCGAGAGCCGCGGCCCTGGCTACGACCACACGACGGGCCGAGGTAGGGTAGGGCGGGGCCTCCTGCAGCTGGGCACCCTCCCTGTGGCCCGGGGCCGCGCCCGTGGCCCACTGTCCTGGTCCGCGCACAGGCCACTTCCTGTACCTGGACCCCGCGGAGCCCCTGGCAAGGGGCCCTGGGGCCCACCTGCTCACCAAGCTCCAGACGCCGGCGGCCCCCACGGAGTGCCTGTCTTTCTGGTACCACCTCCACGGGCCCCAGATTGGTGCGTGACACCGGATACCCGGGGGGGGGGGCGGGGGCGGGGCTGGTTCCCGACCACACCCCTCTCTCCAGGCACGCTGCGGCTGGCCTTGCGGCAGGAAGGGGCAGGGGAGACAGTCCTGTGGTCACGCTCAGGCTCTCAGGGCAACCAGTGGCACCAAGCCTGGGCCACCCTCACCCACCAGCCTGACTCCAAGTACCAGGTGGGGCCGTCTGACTCGAACAAGGGACATTGGGCCCGGCTGCTAATGCTCCTCCTCCACACTGGTCCCTCCCCCAGGGGACCCCGCCCCCATGGCAGCCCCTCCCCCGTAGCCCCTTCCTAAGGAACCCTCCTCTGGCTGGCCCCTTCCCCACAGCTGAGCGCTGGCCCCTAGCCGTAGGTACGGTGCTAAGGGGACCCTGCTGGCCAACCCCTGTGTTACTAGCTGCTGTTCGAGGGCCTGCGGGACGGCTTCCTAGGCAGCATGGGCCTGGACGACTTGGCGGTGCGGCCCGGCCCCTGCTGGGCCCCCAGGCGCTGCTCCTTCGAGGACTCCACCTGCGGCTTCTCCACGGGCGGCCAGGGCCTCTGGAGGCGGCAGACCAATGCCACAGGCCAGGCTGTGCAAGGTCCCCACGTAGACCACACCACGGAGACCGCACGAGGTTGACCACAGACAGGGGCTCTGATGGGCTTCAGGGAGCTGGGCTGCCACATGGCAATGCTAACGTTGACACTGCCCCCAGGGCACTACATGGTGGTGGACCTGAGCCCCCAGGCCTTATCCCAGGGCCACGCGGCTTTCTTGACCTCTGAGGAGCACAGGCCTCTGGCTCAGCCCGCCTGCCTGACCTTCTGGTACCACCTGAGCCTCCGTAGCCCAGGTGAGGAGCCGGGCCAGGGTGCAGGGAGCATCTGGCCACACTCAGGGCTGGCCCTAGGGCAGGACTGACTGCCGCCCCACCTGCAGGTACCTTGCGGGTCCACGTGGAAGAGCGGCAGCGACAACAGGTGCTCCTCGTCAGCGCCCATGGCGGGCCAGCCTGGCGCCTGGGCAACGTCGATGTGCAGGCCCATGGGGCCTGGCGGGTGAGTGGGCAGCACGGCCGGGCAGGCGTGGCGGGCAGGGCCAGCTCCAGGCTCAGCACCCTGCTTCTGTCCGTAGGTGGTGTTTGAGGCTGAGGCTGCCCGAGTGCAGGGTGCTTACATAGCACTGGACGACCTGTCTCTTCATGATGGGCCCTGCCCTCGGCCAGGTGGGCGCATCCCTGCCCCACCCGCCCCACTACCCTAGGGGACAGGCAGATGGTGGGTGGGGGCGAGTTGCTGCCGGAGGGACAGTTTCCGCCAAACCTCTGAACAGCATCCTGCGACTTCGAGTTCGGTCTGTGTGGCTGGAGCAGTCAGCCCTGGCCGGGTCTGGGAGGCTACAGCTGGGATTGGAGCAGCGGGGCCACGCCCTCCCGGTACGCCCAGCCCCCCGTGGACCACACCCTGGGCACCGAGACAGGTGAGCCCTGTTGGGCATGATGGGTTGGGGCCAAGCCTGGGAGGGTAGGGCCCAGGAGACAGAGCGCTCCCCCAGCCCCCGCAGCCGCTGGAGGGTGGGCACCTCGCTGCCCTGTCTTGTCCCAGGCCACTTCATCTACTTCGAAACCAGCGTGCTGGGCCCTGGAGGCCAGGCGGCCTTGCTGCGCAGCGAGCCGCTCCCCGCCACCGAGGGCTCCTGCCTCCGCTTCTGGTACCACATGGGCTTCCCGGAGCACTTCTGTAAGCGCGGTGGGCCAGCAGGGCCGGTGGGGGGGGGGGGGACGGCCTGCGTCCGCGCCCCTGACCCCCTCCCCCCGCCCGCAGACCAGGGGAAGCTGCGTGTGCTCCTGAGCAGCGCCAGGGGCCAGCTGGCCGTGTGGGGCGCCGGCGGGCACGAGCGGAACCAGTGGCTCCCGGGGCAAGTGGAGGTGGTCAGCCCCGAGGAGTTCCAGGTGAGGCAGGCGGCTGGGCGCGGCGGGGCGGGGCGGGGCGCTCCTCGGGTTCCGCTCAGCACTGCTCTGGACTTCAGGTCCTATTTGAAGCTACCCTTGGCGGCCAGCCCACCCTGGGGCCTATTGCTCTGGACGACATCGAGTATCTGACGGGCCAGCCCTGCCAGCAGTCCGTACCCAGCCAGGGTGAGAGCAAGCCCCCCCAGACCTCCGCGAAGCCTATCTTGTCTGCCCGGCCCTCCCCTCCCCTCTCTGACCGCTCTTGAATTCTCCGCTCACTAGCGCCACCCTTGGCAGCCGCCTGGGCTAGGGCGATCCCAAGGCCCTCCACATACCCTCTCCCACCCTCCCCAGGACCCCCGCAGAGGGAGGAGCCGCGGGCCCATCCCAGTCCTCTCCCCGGAGTGTCTGGAAAGGGTAGGACCCATCAAGCGGGGCCCCAGAGGTAGGGGCTCAGGCCCGTCTATGTCTGGCCGGCAGGGGACAGGCCTGTGCCCGTGTCGGTGCCGGCGGCAGTAGGCGGTGCCCTCCTGTTCCTGGTGCTCCTGGTGCTCCTGGCACTAGCAGGAAGGGACTGGCTGCGGAGGAGAGGGGGCTGCCCTTTCTTGGGGCATCGGGAAGCGGCCACAGCCCCCGCCACCGGCTTCAGCAACATTCTCTTCAATGCGGTAGGGCGGTGGGGCGGTTTGGCAGGGCAGGGACAAACTGCCTGGGGGGGCTGGCTGAGAGGGCGAGGGCTGACCACCTCTCTCCTCCGTGGTGGGGGTGGGGGTGCAGGGAGGCACCACTTGGAGGCTCTGGATGAGCATCTAGGGGAATGACCCCGGCCCCCTTCCTCTTAGGACAGTGTCACGCTCCCGACGCCTGTCACCAGCGACCAGTAGCCCCTGGATCTCCAGGCAACTTCTGCTGGGTGCCCAGGCCAGGTGTGGGCGTGGGCGGCTGGGGCAGCACTGCGATTCCACTGGTCCCTCTCCCATCTCTGGCCCAAGCCCCCAATAAAGACCTCGCTGTCCTCCCGCAGGCTGGCAGGCTGTTCCTCTATCCCAGCCCTTCCTCCAGTTAGCAGTCGGGTGGGAGAGCCAGGCCACAGGGTAGACTGGGCCAGGCAGGAGGACCTGGGACACACACCCACTGCCCGTCAAGCTCCCTTAGACTGCCCCCCATGGTCTCCTATGGGCACTCTATTACAAAGCCCATCAGCCCCTGTGGGTCCCAGGCAGCAGGCCTCTGCTCAGTCCTCGCTGCCCAGGGGAGCTGCCTCCGCCCATCCCGTGGCCCCGGGGCCTCCCCAAGGTCAGGTGCACCTGTCAGCCTGGATGGGGGCAAGTCCTGATGGGCCACTCCTACTTCCCCAAGAGTCAAGAGTGGGGCCCCAGGTGGTCACGGAGCTGAGTGGGGGAGAGCCCTGGGCAGTTAATGATCTACCGCGGCCCAAAGGGAAGAACAAGTGTTCATGAGCGTCTGTCTGTCTGCCAACTCAAAGGGAGGAGCCAGCAGACAGGCAAAGCCTGCCGCCCACTCAGGTCACCCACTCACACAGGGGCAGGGCCATCTGGATTGGTAGGAACAAAACAGGACAGAGAGCCAGAAACTTTGCAAGGTTTTGTTTGAGACGGCAGGTGTGGGGGAGGGGTCCCCGGTGGCCTGGCGTCCCGAGCCGCTGGCCAGTGAAGGGACACAAAGCCCGTCGGTCGGGAGCCCCTGGACAGGAGCAGCGGACACCGGATTCGAGGCTTTGTGCTCACTTCCCCCTCGGGCCCTTCTCGATGGGAGTCCCGATGTCCTTGCCCCGCAACTTGAGGCCTGTGGGGACACCAGCTGGTGACTGACCAGTTCCCCTAGCCCACGACAGTGGTCCCTGGCCCCAGCTGGCTCTCCAGTACCTCGGCCTTCCCCTCGACTCTACCCCCATGACTCTGCAGCCCAACTTCAAGGAACTCCAAGAAGGCAGGGGGCCCTCTCACCACCACACACCAACATACTCTTCCCCTCCCAGTATCTCAAGAACTTGACCCTTGGCTCCTCTCAGGAACTTCCAATAG